TTTTTTTTTTTTTTTTTTTTTTTGTGAATATTATTTTATTATTATTATTACCATAAATCAATAAGCGCTATTTAAGATATTTTATTAGCTGGCAGGGGCAGCAGTAGCAGCAAAAGCAACAGTAACAGTAACAGCAACAGCAACAGCAGCAGCAGCAAAATTGAAAGGCACAGCTGTGTGCAAAGAAAGTAGTTTTTCGCAAATAGTTTGATTTTTAGTATTACTTGCTATCTATCTATCTGTTCGACTGCTCGTTGTCGTGTTAGTAACATTAAGCCATAGTTAGTAACTAGATAAGGCAACAAGAGCAAGAGCATTATTGCTTATTAGGCTACTAAGGCAGTGGTTTTAATGCTTATCATGGTGGTGGTTGTTGTTTTCTATTGCTAGTCGAAGAATGTAAAATGTAAAAAAAAAAAAAAAAAAAAAAATGTAATTCCATTGCCAGAGATAAGCAATCTGCTCTAGTTTCAATATTTTTCTTTTCCTCTCTTTTCGAATTTTACTGCCACCAATATTTGCCTAACTCAGCTACAAAAGAAGGCCTGCATTGTTGCTGGCTGGTGCTGCAGCTGATGCTATTATGATGATGATTTGCCTGAGTTATTAAATTTCTATATAATTTCTGAACAATTTTTGAAAATGTTTACAGCATAAATAATCGCCTCAAGGTAATCCATACCGCATACTTTATATTATAAATATAGATAAATCTTACTCTGCTTATCGGTCTGATCGTATGTCTCGTTTTCTTTTTCTTTTTATTTATTTTTTTATTTTTTTTGGAATCGTTACTTCTATTTATAGGCTGAAATGTTGTAAAAATCCGCACATATCTAAACTATGAAGACAACTTGTTGACAATCTGGTTAAGCTATTCAACTTTCACTGTTCATGGCTTGTGTTTGATTACCGCTCATCACAATAAGGTGTTTGGTTTTTCCATTTTTTATGTTCAGTCTAATCATATCGTCTTCACGCACCTACCAATGCAACGGAATTTCATTTAAAGCCTTAACTAGTAGAGTAAGAAAGTTGTACGCGCCTTATTACGAATCTTGATATATTCACTGCTTAAAGATAATCATTCATTTTCATTGTCTCGAGAGAATTGATGAGAAATCATCTTGGCATTGTCTATCATATTTCATCTTGATATTTACTAGTGCTCCTAAAATTGTTAACAACAACAATAATAATAACAACAACAACAATATTTAAGAATTTTAATCCGACGGATTACTTTTAACAAATAAAGTGAACTCTAGTTTTCTAATTAAATTTAAAAAAAAAAAAAAAACTGTATCTGTACACATATATATATATATTAATTATTACATAACCTATGGGATCTCAGGTCTTTTCTCGCAACAAAAGTTGCATCTCATCTTAACACTACTTGTAGTATACAATAACAAGTTATTGTCAAGATTACCTTTAGTATTTCTTTACTTTACTTTACTTAATTAGTCATAGGCGTATGTGCGCTACACATTAAAAGTAGACTTGAGTTATTTTTGTGTTTTAACAGAAAAAAAAAAGCGAAATTTTTGTACTTTCTTTAAAACAAGATCTGCCTAAGCGGCCGGGTAGACTAAGGATCTCGACTAAGAACTCAATGATCGTGGATCGTTCAGATCTCAAGAGCTGGAAAGATTTTTCAATAAAATCCCATAGAATCAGATACTAATGCTTTAAGACTTTTATCTTTGAATTTAGTTCTCTGACTAAATTAAATACAATAGCGATAATAATAGTAATAATGTATGAAACATAACTTGAACAAGCCTTAGTCCGAGCGACGCAATCACATAGTAAAACAGCAAAATTGAAGTAACGCAGAACCGACAGCATTTGAAGCGTTATTAAAATATTATTATTTGAGTAATAGTTGAGGTTTGAACCCTTGACCTTAGTCGAGTCCCTCTGCCTACTCGACCAGTCGGACAGGCTGTTATTAAAGTATGAAGGGCATCAGGGTATTATTTATACATAGCTGTTTTTCATCACAGGTTTGTATTTTTGTCCACTTCTTCTAAGGTCATAGCTAAATATATCAAAGCTTATTACCAAAACCAATTGGAAACATGTTTCAGAACTTTTTATGTGAAGGTATGATCTCTGCAAGAATCCTCTCTGTCGGTCTGAAAATCAAAGCACGGACTTATTATTATCAGAACTACGCTTAAGTGAAGTAAGTGAAAAAGATAGGAAGTTGTAGCGACGGACCAACGTGTCATTGCTGCACTAGGTTATTCGGGAGATATGGCGGACTTTTAAATTTGAAACGTACCCTCCACATACAGTTACATCGAAAAGAATTACACGTACTTCACTCTTGTAGGAACACGCGGTGAGACAAGATCTACTGACTTTCTAAGTTTGGTTTGAATTCTATTATGACCTCGAACAGTTTTTATTAGCCAAGTTTGGTGAATTTTAATGAACGTTTTCGTTCGTGAGAAGTAGTAAGAAGAGGCGCATTTAGTCACGTTGCATAAACGAATCAAGTGACGCGAAAATTTCTGGCATAAAGAGAATATTGAAGCTGCCGACCAAGATACTGCCGATGTTCCATGCCCCGTTTTCAAACTCACAGTGTTTCAGTGATCAATTTGTGTTGCATTTGTTATCTGCCGGGAACAGTGAAGGCAATCGACTGTCATGCGAGACGTAGCTTCAGTGTAGAGCCACAACGAAGAAAACGATTGTTTTCTTAATAATTTGTCATCGCGCAAAATTGCAGGATTTACTTGAGACGTCAATCCGAACGACATTATTCGCTTAAAAGTGAACCGATTAATTGAATCGGTTAGAGACAACCACTGTTAGTTCAAGGCGAGTTTGGCATTGAGTTCTTTTTCTAATGCGACACAAGCTATTGAAAATCAATTTCTATAAAGCAGCATATGTATCAAGTATATATATATATATATATATATACATTTGTTTTTTACAATTTTCATTTAAGTTAAATACGAAAATCGGCACACAATTCCCTTACGTAAACAAGATAGCCATGAGTTATTCATTCATATCATTGCATGTTATCGCTGTAGTTCATGATCATCCTTGATCGCCGGTAATTGCTCGAGTTGTAAAATTCATCAATAAATGATGAATGTATGGACCCAACATTTTAAAGGTCTTAGTTCATCAAACTCTACAGCCCGCTCCAAAGCCCCCTTTCAAAGGAGAAAAATTAACATCAATCTTTTACAACGAGATGACGTAATTGAGTAACTATTGTAAAAGTGATTGATGCGAGCGTTAAGTGCTTCTCAATTGAAACGCTTCTTAAGTGTATTTTTCTAAGCGGAGAGAGACCTTTTTTTTTTTTTTGTTTTTAAGTACTTATTAATAAACAGTGTGTAAAGTATTAATTTTTCTTAAGGGAAAGGAAAGGAATTCATAACTTGATAATTTTTAGCAAATGCATAACTAACAATTTTGTAGCCCTTTTGGATAATTTACTCATTACATACGCATTATTATTCGTTCGTAGACAGGCAAAAGATGTAGTAGCAACCGCAACGGCAACAGCAATAAAAACTATTTGATTAAACTAAAAGCTTTTGCTGTTTTTCTTGCACTTTTACAGTACCCGGCATTTTAGGATAATTACATATAGTTATGTAGCGCAGTGTCTGTCCGCGCATTTTACTGTCTCTTGTTCGGCTTATAGGCTGTAGTACAGGCTGCTACTGCTATTGCTATTGCTGCGACGACGACGACTACTACTACTACTGCTACTACTGAAGAAGACCATTATTAAATGTTGAATAAGGGAAAAACATTTAATCAAATGTTTTCGTTGTTTCCTTCCTCCCTCCTGGTTTTGGCGGCCCAGTACAATTCAGGAGTAAAAAGTTTATTTTTAAACTCTAGAAACAATTATATCAAGAGATTAATAAAAAGAGGAAAAAAAAAAAAAAAAAAAAAAAAAAAAAAAACCTCCTAAAAGTTGTTACTGCTGCCATATTTATTGCATAGATATATACAGTACCGGAGAGTTCTCTATATTCCTTATATACATATATGTGTGTATGCGCGTGTGTGTGTGTGTGTGTGTGTATGTAAGCAAGAGGAATACGAGTTCAGGTAGAGATGCTAGTATTTAAAGGTATGTGTGTTAATAGCATTTTGATTGAGTTTCCGCGGTTAAGGTGGCGGTCTAAACAACGGCTCATCATTGGCATTAATCAAAATAACATTTGGAGATGGTGGCTAAACTGAGTTCATTCTAGATGAGAGTAAATGATATGTTAACGAAAAAAAAAGCAAAAAAAAAAAAAAAAAACAAGGAAAAAAAATAATAAAAATTTACTAAAAATTCCATATAGCAGTGAAAAGATGGCACACGGCAGACGGTATTTAATCTGTATGACGAGTGGCTTTAGTGTGTTGATGGATTTATGTTCTCACATGTTTCATGGGGTTCGGCATCTCTCTGTGTGCTTGTATGTTTTGCCTGTATTATTAAGTCAAGATTAAGATGTTGTTGTATGCTGCTGCCTTGTGTATAATTTTATAGTGAAACAATTACGCATACATATATTCTTTGTTTTTAAACTATTGTAAAGTAGGCGCTTAAGGGGAGTTTTCAACGCACAACACGACGATTCTATGCGAATTTTATATATTTATATATATATATATATATATATATATGGAATCTCTTCAATCAAACTAATTGAAGACATTAAGTTGTATGTTTGATTGATATTAAGGTTTTTAAAGCTTTTAAGCGAATGAAAGGCAACAAAATTATTATTAAATCAAGTAATTTTAATTTAATAAAAATATTTCATATTCCAGGAAAGCGCAGCTCCGATCAAACGAATTACGAAACAACGAATCTTCAGCCGCCGCAGAGCGTAACAGCAGCTATACCTTCGTATCATCAATTGCCACCAGTTGATCTTTCAGCCGAAAGTATACGTAAAGAAGCCGCACTTGTGTTAGCACAGGCCGAACGTCACAAGAGCACAGCCGAGAACGCTGATAATATACCGACTTTTAGGGTAAGAACGAAACGTAGCGGAGATCCCAAAAAGTTTCATTCCCTGCCTACGCGTAAGAAACGAAAGCCATTAGCACGCAGCAGTAGTGACGCCGCGGCTAAGAAAGCTGCCAAGAAACCTTCCATTTTCAGTATTTTTAATCGTAAAAGTGATACGCAAATTAATCAAGACGAGAGAGACCCGCGCTTCGAAGGAAGTGGTGGCCGCCATCTTGTTAGAAGTAAAAGTGATGTCAGCTCCTTGCCCAATAAACCGAAGAAGCCCAATTTAAAAGACTCGAAGACAACACAAAATCAATCAAGCCATAAGACAGTTACGTCTCAATTGACGCCAATCATAGAAAACGTATCTAATGAGGATTTCTTTGAGGAACAAATCGGCAAACGTGAGCGTCGTAAATCTGATGCCATAACTGATCGAGAAAAGAATGATAGTGCTCTAAATATTTCGCTTGACAATTCTCTAACTCAGAATACCGTAGATGATAAGCTATTGGGTAAAATTCCAATATCGGACGGTATCAGGGAGAAGATTTTAACATTGCAAACCAAGTCTCAGGAAAACATGCACAGCTCGCAATTGCCGGCACAAAAATTGCCGTTAACGAAAGGCAAGACTGTAAACGGTTTAGCCAAACGTTTGTCTATGGAACGCTTCTCCCCACCGCCCCCTCTCACTGGACCGGCCTTTTCCTATATACGACCTAATGATGGCATAACTTATGCTCAGCTAGAACATGAAGATCATGATCTGCGTTTGGGTCAGAGAACATTGCAAAAGAACCGGGACTACAGATCACCGCGTCGCGACTATAGATCACCGTCCAGAGAGCGTTTCACGCCCGATAGGGAATTGCATAAAACCCTTGGCAATCGCAAATCTTTGGATCAAACCGATTTTATAACTAGTCAGAATCATAAAATATCACATCGCAGCAAACAACATTCGCCTAATTATAATCCACACTCAGGTACTACTACCATACATATAGGCGGTTCATTTTCACCCTCGCCCTGGCAGCCGTTGAGTCCACGCAATTTAAGCGATGAAGACGAGGGCTTGGGCATCGAAACACGTAAATATTACGATGACGATTTGCCAAAAATTAGAAGCAAATCACCGGCTGAACCGCCTATAGTACCGAAAATACGTAGCATAACTCCGACACAAGAAAATGGTTTCCATACGCCCGAAAGATACCTTTCACCTAGACGCGAAATGACTCCGCCTCGTCATCACGATGACATGGGTTATCGTAGAGCACGTTTAGAATCTCGTATACTTAATCGACGATTTGGTGAAGTAGGTGGCTTTCATAATGCACGCGAACTTACCCCAAATCGTCATTTACAGCAAGAAGACCGAGAAGAGACTACTTACGAACAATGTACAGTCGCTAAGCGCTACCTCAGCCCTGAACGAGATATTTTAAAGGAACAACGTTTTCATAAACCTGAAGTTGATGAAATTTTAAATAAATACTCGCCCGAACGTTCTCACTTAGATATCATAGCGCCGACGCCTGCGAATCCAAGCATTAGTACATTACCGAAATTGGAGAAGACTTCACGTTACAAGCACACCAAATATTATGATGACGGTCACGGTGGAGTTAAGGAAGTATACGAACGTCAAACTCAAATTGATGCTGACGGTACACCTTATGTGCGTGAGTCGAGACACCGGGAACGTTTGAATTCTTATAGCAACAAAGTTGTTAGAGAATCTTCTCCAACAAATGAGCGCCACTCGCAAAACGATTATGAACCTAAATCGTTAGACTCACAGTTCACGGGCACTGATCAATATCGCTCATCGCCTGAAAACATGAAACGTTACGATATCAATACGGAACGTGTCATAACACCTCATCAAAGCAGCGAAGATCGCTGGCATAGTAGTTTAAAACGTGATAAACTACAGCAGCGTAGTTTTGATAAAGGGGACTCAGGTATCGAAAATGACTTCCGCAAGGAATCATTTAATGGCGACTTACAAACGAGGTAAGTTCAAGGTAATACTTTTAACTAACTCCACTACATAATATATTTGCAGATGGCGTAAACCTTCTACGGCCGATGATATGAGAAGTTGTGAGAATTTCCTAAAAAAAGAGCGTCGCCACTGTGAACAACAGAGACAATGCAAAGATGCGATCGTTTACCGTGAACGTTCTATTGATGATGGCTCTCATTACGATCCTCATTTAGATAAATTTCCTATGAGTAGAACAACATTACGAAGACGAGATCAACCAACACAAACGATACCCGAGCATGAACAGACGACTGTTACAACTCTTAAGCGCTCCAAAAAATTGGGTGGTTTTGAGAAAGTCAAACAACTGTTTACCGGCGCGCATGGTGATAAAAAAGATCCCGAACGAAAAAGTAACAGTAGCAGCACCAGTAGTAGCGCCGGCACACAACAAACAGTACGACCCAAAGATAAAGACAGCAAATATATGGTAAACGAGGAGGAAATGCGTTTAAGATATCAAGAGCATCGTGCTGCTGGCAATGCCTTACGTTTACCAAGTGAGCACAAAAGAGAATCAAAGGTGAGTTTTTGTTTTCGTTTTCGTTTTGCGTCTTCTGAAAATTATTACAAATAGTTCAGTACAATGAGATTGCACCAAGGCATAAGGCATTCAGCAACGAGGACTCCATAGGCCGAATTTGTTCTTAATCACTTAATGACGGCTGTCTGTGTCTCTCTTTCTCAATCGTATTCCTCCGTTTGTCAGTCAATCATCTGAAATTTATAAAGATATTCGAACCTTGGCCGCCAGTCATTATCCATAAAATCGTAGACGGCAGATGTTTCCAGGTTGACCTCATTCGAATGTTAAAGACTTATTAAGTTAAAGGAAAACAACAACAACAATTATTAACTTTTTTTTTTTTTTAATGTGATGCAACCGATTTAAAGGGATAAGCACAAAATCCGTAGTATGCACAATTGTGAGATCATTTAGATATAAGCACATCTTGAATTAGTGCTGAGTGTTCATTAAGCTTAAGCAGGCTTCAGGCCTCCCATCCAAAACTAACTTTACAAAAATATACATAAACTTAATTTGAACGTTCCTCTTTAAAAGTTCAAATCTATTTGGGGAGAAGTTTTCGTCTTTAGTTTAGCTTTCGAAAATTTTCCCAGTTCCAACATAAAAAAAAAAGTCACAATTTTTATAAAAGGAAAGCGAAACTTTCGCTTTCTTATTAGTATTTCTTTCATTTACTCTCGTGCACGTATGTACGAAATTTCTATTGGATCGGGAGAGATAAAGAAAGAAAGAGACATAGATAGAGAGGGAGAGAGAGCAAGAGAGATAGAGAGATGCGCGTGCGCATCAATGCAATGACCTTTTGGAAATTCTTCCCCCTAAAGCAGCCATAAACAGTATAATGACACTGTAATAAAAATTATAGTGTAGTCTTCGTGATAAATGCGAACATGATTTCATTATAATACAAAGCACCAACAATAACAACAATGACAACAAAAATGAAAATCATGGCGCGCATAACTTGAAAAACTGTGCATATGCACAGGAATCACACAGGCACACACACAACATTCTTGATGCAAACTACGTGAGGAAAATAGCTTTGCTTATGCATGTGTGTGTGTGTTTGTGTGTGTGTGTGTGTGTGTGCATTTAATAGTAGAGTATTTAGCTGAAAGAGTAGCAGTGTAAGTAGAAGAGCCGGCCAACATTGCACACACAGCCCAGCATCAAAACACAAAGTCATTTGTAAAATATGTGTAATGTTGTGACAAGCAAGCATACAATAGCTATTTACCTACCGCCACCACCACAACTACCACTGCCCGTCACCATCAAACCTCAGCCATCATCATCATCAAAACAAAACCGGCAATATTTAAGATACTTAAGCAGTAAACGGAAAGATAGCATAAGTTGAAAAAATATTTCTCTCTCTCTCTCTCTCTCTCTCTCTCTCTTCCCGTCACCTTTTGTTTGTTTTGTTTGCTCTTTGTCTTTCTACTCTTAACGCAGAAATGGTGGATGATGTGGTTTTCTTTTTTTGCTTAACTTGCCATTATGCACTTAGTAGCATAGCAGGCAGCGTGTTGGCCATGCAAACAAACGTATATATATATATATATATATATGTATATATGTGTGCAGTGGAGGCGTTAAAATAAAAGAAAACAACAACGACAACGACAGTATTTGTGGTTACATCATCATCATCATCATCACCATCATATTGTTGTCTCGCTATCGTCATCGTCAACAACATCGTCTTCTTTTCTACGTATCGCAAGTTCGAAGACTAAACGAAACGAAACGAAACAAACGAACGAACGAACAAACGTACGAGCATGCATGCATGCATGCAGTGCTACTTTTTTAGGTATTATGCAAGTTGTCTGTTGACATATTGACACCGTTTAAGTTAAAAATCCGGAAAAAATGATTTGCATATTATGAAGTATGCATAAGCATGCCACTGCACAACATACCACACAGCTTAATGCACTATTACATTCATTTATGCATAAGTATGTAATAATGTTTAAGCATCTAGGAAATAGGTTAATGGGTTGGTTGGTTATACACTTTAAGTTCTTCGAAGGTAATGGGAAGTTCAAAAAAGAATTTTAAGGAACAGAAAGGAATGCGCGAAAGAATTTTCATCTGATATATGCATATGGAATTTTTCATAGGCCACTCCCTCGCTTTTTGAAATCCTTATAGAAAAATATTTTTTATTTTTTCGTTTATTTTTATTTTTTTTTGTTTGTTCCATTATTAACTTATTTTTAAAGTTTCGATGTTTGCAAGCGCATGCGGTTGGGCTTCAAATTGATTTATGTATGTATGTGCTTTGAAGGCAATCGTAAGCATTGTACGAAGGATTATGTCAGCCACGATCGTATATAACATAAATAAAATCATTCACTCTGATAAGCTTTGAAAACCGTTCGTTTTGTTTGGTATGCGACAACACACACACGCAGACACATACACACACACACACGTACACGCTTTAATTCTCATATTTCAAAAGTCTTCACTTACGTATTGTGTTGAGAGGATTTTTTTTTTTTTTTATTTTGCATTTTTTGTTATTCGATTTATGAAAATTTTTTATACGATTTCAAAACGAAAGCATCAAGATTGTTTCGCAAACAGAAACACACACACACACACACACACACACACACACACACACACACACATACATACATATATAATTAGTAATTTATGCACAGATTGTTGAAGGATTCGTAATATATGGTTTGATGATGATAAAGGCTTTGCTAAGATCACGATTCTGAATCGATTAATAGTTTGTCCGTTTTCTGTCCTCTTAAATAGTGTATGGTTTAAAAGGTCTTTACGGTTTTTTGTCACTAGATTTATGATGACTAGATGACTCGATGTATCTCACCTGATTGTCTCAAACAAGCATGTGCTTGTTAAGAGATGACATTTCAGCTTACATTTTGAGTGACGATAGTTTTCCAACTCTTTGCTGATGAAAAAACTTGTATTGATTTGAAAATGATTGAAATATCCAAAGAAATACCTTAAGTAATACTTCTCTCTTATGAAAAAGGTAAAAACACTGCAAAAATATGTCGAAATATTTGTGAAATTTACGGCGAGAAGGCTGTGACTGAACGAAGGACTCAAGAGTGGTTTGCTCCGATTCTATTACGGAAATTTTGATATCAAAGATGCACCAAGCTCTGGTCGGCCAGTCACAGAGAAAGTCAATGAAATTTTGCAACTGATGAAGCAAGACGGGCACGCAAGCTGTCAGGAAATAGCGAAGGAACTATACATCAATCACATGACAGTTTGGTATCATTTGAAAAGAGAAGGCTACAAAAAGAAATTCAGAAGAAGACCGAAAAACCGCGGGGATGCTTTATATCATCCATTGTCAAATTATTTCAAGAGATTGCGGACTTTTTACCTTCAAGTTGAAATCCATATCGTGTCTAATTACTAGCAAGTCCACGTAAACTTATTTGACTACAATGTTTTTGATGCTTGAGGTTGTGTTTGACACATTAGCCAATAAATGGTCCTGGATTTTTTTCTATAGGTTTTGAGTAGATTTCTGTCTTTTGGACATATTTGGGGAGATATTTGGGAAGGAATTCTCCTCTTCTTCTCTTCTTCTTTTCCTTTACTTACAAGTATTTTTTTGCGTAGCAGCAGATTGGTTGTCCATTCAAGTTTTAATTTGTGTGGATATACTTTTTACTGATCCTGTGTCCTAATCAAATTTTCTGTGCGATTTGTGAAAACTATCCAAAGAGGAGAAATTTTATTTCTAGCGTTTAAAAGTCATTTGCGCTCGGTTTGTCCTTATTCTGCTTCCACTATTTCCTCGCAGTATCTTGGAAACTGTTGCGCCTTTCGACTCAGTTTTGTATTAGACCACAAGAGCTTTGATAAGAAGATTGATGATCAAAAAATATTTCTCAAGTCGTAAATCACGAAAACATAGAAAATTAGGAGCGAATTACTCTTCCCCCATAGGCTTTCATTGTATGAAGATCGTTTATTTCGCGATTTTCGTCAAGTTAAAATTTTATAAACACGATCGGTCCCTCACTACTCCAACACTACTTTTGAAAATCCGTTTTTTTATGCGGAATGATCCTACAAATAATTCGATGCATTTTAAGAACGCTCCGTCTTTGTACCGAAATATATCCCTACGACAAATTCCATCAGAATATCGCGAGAAAACCTTATAGTTGGGCTAGGCCGACTATCAAATACCGTAGACCACATTCTTTAACATTATTCTTATTTTTGCCATTACATCCTGTTTCTAAATGAGTGTATATTAAAAATAAGATCTCTTTGCAAATAAAGACTTACTTTCCGTACGAATGGATGTGCTCAAGAGATTCAAAAAAATGAGGTGAGTATTCAAAATTCAGCACAAAAACTTGGACTTTTCTGCCTTAAAACAAAACATTTTCCTGAAAATCCGTATAGAAGATAGGTGCGCAAGCCTAAATAGGCCCAGATGTTCCAAATTTGGGGTAATTAATTTTTTTTTTTAAAGCACTATTACAAACTGATTTACATCATGTGATATCATCGAAACTTAGACATTTTTCTCAATATAAATTTGCCTTTTTTGTTATATGAAAAGGGGGTTAAAAAAATTACTCAAGCCGGTCCAAAGTTTTCACACGAATTTGGGATACTGAAATATTATTACTTAACGGCCTTTACGGAAAAATTTTTAAAATTACAATTGTATTCTTTATTATGACTTCTCATATATATAAGAAGTTATATAAGAACTGGTCGAAAGAAGCAACCGATCAAAATTATGTTCCATAGCATTCATCTTTGGGTCATGTCAGTTTATCCAAAATTGGTACATGTACCTTGAACAAAAGATTACATGAGTAGACATCAGACGGACAATCAAGCTTAGATCAATTCAGAAAATGACTCTAAATAAAATGTGGATCTATCTTAAGACCTTTTGCATATTACATACGTACGCACAAACTTAATATACCATGTTCAACAAGTTGTCTAGGGTA